AACGTTAACTCGCTTTTTCATTCCGTCGATCGGTTGTGTCTCCATCATACCCCCACTCTCCGGTACATCGGATGTTTTCGTTCGTTTTCGGACGTTATCGTTATTTCAATAAGCGCCCTACCTTAGTGACACTCACGACCGCCTCGAATTATCGACACTCACGGGCTCGCGCTCTGTCGTATCCACACTCACGGGCTGTGAACATTATCGACACGCACGGGCTCTGAAAATTATCGACACTCACGGGCTCGCGACCTGTTTTATTTACAGGTACGGGCTCTCGATCTGCTTTACTTACCGGTACGGGCTCTGACCCTGTTGAAGGTTTTGTACAGGCGCTGGCAATCTCCTCTATAATCTCTGTCTAAACATTTCAGTTTGCTTGCATGTGATTTCTTTTCAACTTGAAGCGGTCAACTCGTGAAAATGAAGAAATATTTTTGTGCTATTTTCCAGTGGCAAACAGAAATTGCCAAGGAATACTTTGTTTGATGAATCTAACCTAATTTCCCATAATTTCGCGGCATTTTTGGTGTTGATGATGATATTAATAGTAATTAAGAGTAATAACAATAAATTATTGTCGTTTCTATTTGATTAGTTTTGGGAATCAGGGGATTGACTGATATCGAAATATGGCAGATGGTAAAGTAAATCCTTTGGAAGTTTACCAGAAGGATCCGCGAATTGCTTGTCAGTATGGTGCCAAGTGCTACCAGAAAAATTCTGTGCATCATCAAAAATATAAACATCCACCAATCAAGCTTCAGGTATTTTAACATAAATATTCATCACTGGTTTGCATTTTATAAGAAATGCTTGAAACTTTTTTATATTGACAATAATCATGAATCTTGTTAATTGTTTGTGTCATTACTTGGCTAGCATAATCGAGTTACGTTGGCAAGTGTCACGTGGGCAATGCTGCATGTCCAAATATTCAATTGACCAAAATCTGGTGCATAAAAAATAATTTAATTCGGTATCTTTTTGTAAATTATTGCAGAATCCAACTCCTAAAAAAACAGTCAAACTCCAGAAACGTAAGATAAATATGAAAACAGTTCTACCTAAAACGAAAATGCGAAGACTCGATCCTCCACTGGATCAACGAGGACCTTCACCGATTCCGTCATTGTCCTCAGATGACGAAAATGATCCTAGGAACTTGGGTAAAAATTTATCTTCATTATCAGAAGATGATGAATCAAAAGATAAGAAAACTTTCACCGGCATCTATGAATCCCCCGAAAAAACGACTTCTGCGTTAATAAAGAGTTCACCAGATGATGACGAGACTGAAAAATCTGCTGAGTCGCCTTCATCGTCTAAAAGGGATATAGAAAAAATCACGAAATCTCCAGACTCTGAAGAAATTAAAAAATATAAAAACTCAATTCCAGAAGATCAGAAATTGTTGATTAAGAAGCTTTTTCTACTGGCGATGCCAGACGATTTCTATCAGTTTTATGAATTTTGTCGTTCGTTAGCTCCTGATTCTCCAGGGTTGGCTCTGAGAGCTATTGGCTTAGAACTTGTGGGTCCTTTCGATGTTTTATTTGGAAAGGTTGTGGCATTTCCTGAAGGGGCCGAGGAGAAGTATCTGAGACACTGGAGATATTTCTATGATCCTCCTGAGTTCCAGGTAACTCTAAAACATGATTAAGAAATTCGCATTATGCATTTTTACTGAACATCCTATATCATCAGAAACAGTTCTGTGGTGATATATATCAACATTACTTTGAACTATCAAAGATGATATTAGATTATTCATTCTTGTTTATTCCGTTGATGTTACAATAATAATTTTCTTTCGCTTTAGATCAGCACCTGCCTTTTTCATTTCCCGAGAAATTTCAATAATAATAATGTAATATATATATAACAAACAAACATCTTGGTAATCTTCGAGAATCACTAACATACGGTCAGAGATTACTGCCAGAGATTATATTTACAACTAATATCGATTTGTTATTATTTATTATGTGTCTGCAGACAATTTTGAAAGGCAATGACAAAGAAGGGCTACATTTTGGTTACTGGAGGGATGAAGATTGTAATATACCAGTCTTTGTAGCTAGAAATTCGGCGATGGTAGAATGTAAAATAATACCTGTAGCAGAGACTATTTTTGGTGCAGTTTTGTGAGTACTCTAATCACTCAATGATCAACAAAGTAATTAGAAAATGTCAACGTGAACTATACCTCTATCACGTCAATTCAGTTATGATTCTTATTGAATACAACGGGGACTTTTGTTATGCAGAGCTTTCATTGAAGAAAATCTGAAGAAAGCTTCGCCTTTCGAAAAATCTTGCTTTTCTCTCCTCTTTCGTAAAGTGAAGCAATTTGCTAAGGGTAACAACATCAGTTTGGAGCTGATGTCTGTGAACATGAAATCCAGAGATAGGAAGTCCGTTGCGAAGACGTTTCACGGAGCTGGAATCGTTGTGCCTTATGACAAAAAGACCCAAGTAGGCTACAGGATTTTGGCAGTTACTGACAGTAAGTCACCACTCAATGTCATAATCATCAATAATTTATGCACATTATGATGCAATTAAAGACATGGAATGAATTTAGCTAAATAATTCATCGACATTTTTTAACTAATTTCTAAAATTTTATAGAAAATAAATCTTCTTAGGATTTTTTCTTAATTCCATGGAAAAGCTCATAACGTTTCATCAAGATCTTATAAAGGAAACTGCAAAAAAAAAATTATTGAATTAAATGTAAAATAACCATTATCTATGGCAAAAAACTGAAATTATAAAAAAAAATTAAGTTCCTAAATTATTTTTTTACCGGCTAATGTTATTTCCTCATATAATAAATGCGTATCTCTTTTTTAATAATTCTTATTTAAAAATTTTCTTTAATTAACATTTTTATTTCAATCAATTTTATTCCTTGAATAAATAATTGCAAGACCACTGGAACATGACATTGTGGAATTTGTTTCTCACTGCTGAAATTGAACAGATTGTTTTTACGTTTTATTTGTCATGTCAGCTTCCAAAATAAGTAAAAACGTGATGAGAAGGAAAATTTCAAATTTTCCTTCTTTTCCTTTCCTCAAGAGTTACGGTCACTTCAGTGGATTTCAGTGGAGGAGAAGTCCCTTTTTTACCCAGGTCCTAAAGGCCCATCACCCGATACAATGGGCTCTCATCTATCCTATGTCATGTACTAATAGAGATCGAGAGCGAGATTTGCTCTCAGAGCAGAAGCTGCTCAGCCCTGGTTTCCGGTAAAGTGATTACTATCACTCTCCAGATTACTAGCCTCTCCCATCGTAGGGGATCATAATACGACTGCACTTAGGGCACTTCAACGCACTCAGTAAAATCTTGCGTTTTACGTAAGAATTTAACTAGCACTTCGTAGTTTTCACAAATTCCATAAATTTCCACAAGCTTCATATTGGTCGGTCGCGTTCCTATCACCACTTATTTAATGCCATCATTATCTCTTGGTATCATCGGGGACCCGTCTTTGTCGAATCCGTCGCGTAGACACGAGGATTAGTATACTTTACATATTAGACATTATCGCATTTTTTGTTCTACCGTTGGTGCAAAATACCACATACACAAAATCACAATAATAAATTCATCCATTTTTTTTCTAATTATAGCTCAATTGAAAAAAGTCTTGGAGAAAGTGCACAAGGGAGATGAGGATACCAAAAAAGAACAGATGTCAAAAATCGACGAGATTATAAGGCTTGCAACAATAGCAGCTGACGAATGTGATTTTGGCACGCCGCTGGAACTTGCTCACGATTTATTTAGCAGTGGTATTCCAGCTGTTGAGAAAAGAGCTCTACAAATGTTCACCATGTCCTACAGTCTCCTTCAACGTCCCCTTTTCTGCAAGATCGCTGTAGCTCATCTGAAGGATCGCAAGAAAAATTGCAATTTGAATGTCTTCTGAAAGAAATGATTATGTATACATCCTCTTAACGCCAAACTTTGCTGGCGAATAGCTGTATTTTTCTATTTGGCGTTTGTCGATTATACTTACTGGCATAATAAATTGAACATCCCCTTCATTATGTTTCATCATATTCCAAAGCATGTATTTGAAATCCGGGTAATTGCCCAGCAAATGTCATCCTATAGTATTCGAGATTACCAACACAAAAATCCTATTTACTGGATAATCCTTCATGGATACTTAATGTAGTTCAAAGTTTCTCACCAACATGAAAAGAATTACTAAGGTAGAAGCTATGCGATAAATTATGTGTAAATCTTCATGTGCACATGATATGTATTCGTTTTGTATTTCAAGTTGTATATTCTATTGCAAGCATCGTATAGGTAAGCGAGAGTAGAAGCAATGCAGCGAGTAAGAGTTCAATAAGAAGACTCACCAATTTTAAAATTCCCCATGGTAAAGTTTGGAAGGAGTGAATGAATTTCAAATCATTGACTTTTCACGGAATTAGTATAAACCCCATTCATATTAAATAGCTCTGGTATTTAACTGCGTTACATCGATTATATCCGGATCATTTTCCGTGATATTGATGGTTGCTTTGCATGTCTCTTTCCATGAAGCAACATTACCGATCTACAGTATAAATTTTGGCAGTGAACAACTCGTAATTGTTCAATTGCATTTAGCAACAGATATTTTTCAGAAGCAAAAAAAGAAAAATGGCAACATCTCGCGAATTTTGTATAAGCGGATACACATATTTTTAATGCTCGACATGGTGCCTATTGAGACGAGTAGCATCAGCGTCCCAGTTGGTGCATGGCGAAGGATAGATCGTTATAGAAAATCACTTCTGTTTTAGGTTTTAGGCTTTTTAGTGCTTTTAGGCGTTCCCCTAAGAGATCGAGAAGTCCAATGAGCCTTTCGGTCATTGAGCAGATGAATATTTTCTTGCCCCTGTCTCCTCTACCCAGGATTTCCCTGGCGCCGGTCCTTAGGGCAGCAAGTTCTGACTGGAGCACGGTCTTGCGCGAGTCCACTTCAAGGGCCCTTGCAGTTGAGGGGCACAGATCCCTGCTTCCGCTTGATTGCCAATCCTGGAGCCATCGGTGTACCAGATCAGCCGGATTGAAAAATTACTTATAATTTCATTTTTTTAGGCATAAAAAATAACTGAAAAATTGAGAAGTTATTCCCCGTGTCTTCTGAGCAGAAAAGGACGGAAAAATAAGAACACCTAGAAATTCAGTAAATTTAAACAAAAATATATGAGCAGCCTCAATGTCACAGTTCGTGCACAGTTGAAAACGACATGACGGTATTTCCACACACGGCAGGCCCAGTTCGTAGACAGAGGGAATTAAAGGCAACTGGATCATGTCAACCATTGGCTTTATTATGCATTTGTTTTATGCAAATATATGTAAAAATTTTATTATATTTTTGTTTTTTTTACTGTTTTTTCAAGTTTCTTCTATTCCTCCCTTTTTGATAATGATTTTGAAGTTCTTTTTTTGACTTTCTCTTCCTTTAACTCCGAATTCTTTTCCTTTTTTATAGCACGAGGTTTAATTTTGCTTTTCATCATGTGAGCTTTCAATTCATATTTTACTAGTGGCTCTGCGTTTTTCTTCTCGATAGGTTTTCAAAAATCTAAACATACTCCTCTACTAACTGGTGCAACCCCAAGTTTAAATGACCCACTTGTTATGTTTTACATTTTTTTTTTTTACATAAAATGATACTTTTTTGGTTTGTTTTCTCTCTGCAGTGTTTCTCGACTATGCCCTTATCTATTAGAAACCAATAAATGTTAATGTTATACTTAGGGTTTGGTATTTAAGTCTTACGTAGCTTGAGAGAATTTTAACCACTGCACACTACTTTGTCACATTTAATAATGTGACAAAGCTATTACAAGGTTCTAATGAGTTTACTAATAATTTTTAACTTAACTTTTACTCCTCCCACTTATTTTGGTGGATACTCCTTCCAAAAGTAGTTTATTTGCCATTAAGTAAACTAATATTATGAAGTGTTTACAATAAATTCAACATGTAGTGAAGCATTTTTTCCGAAAAATATTAACGTGACCCAGGGTTCGCGACAGGGACGCGACTGGTATGAACTCCATCAAAGGGCGAATTGGAACTGTCTCCTCCCTCAAAGTATATACCTAATTGACCTAATCGAGTCTAACTCAAGATTCGCCTTTCTTTCGTTTTTAATAACTACCAAAGTGAATAATAGCTCTGAATAATTTGGAAATAGGATGGAGTATCTGTACTTACCAATTACCAAAATTGCAACTCGCTATCTCTATTTTTTGTTAACTTATCGTGTTCACAAAGTTTTTGTATATAAAACTGAAAAACGGCGATATCATGAAATTTTATCCGAACCAATGAAGATATTTTAATTGATATAAATAGGGCCTACCAAAACGAATATTTCGGAATTTATTCGAAAAAAAAAAATCAAATTCATCTAGTAGGTTTTAAGGTATTGACAAAAAACTAAATTCCCAAAGTTGCTACATCTCAGAAACTAGGGGACCGACCGATCTAAAAAGTAAAGTGCAGGTTAATAAATTAATATACCTATCACAAGTTAAAAAAGTTCAGAGTTTTAGCAACAAATTTTATTGTACTTATGTTGAATTTCCTAAGAATTAATCCTGAAAATTTGAATTTTTTCAGCACATACACACATTCAGACATGATGTAAAAGCATCATTTTTTCTAGTTTCATAATATTCTAGACAACTTGCAATTGAAATCGAAAGATTGATCACATACAAGGCTTCCATTCGGGAGCAAAAGGGATAGTGATTCTCAAAGTATTTGATACATAGCTGTAAAATCATAACTTTCATACATACGTTAATACGATATCTCTGCAATGAATGATGATTTTTTTTAAGATTTAAATGTATGGGAAATATTTGGAATAATTTTCAACATATTCATCATTTCTTGATAACAATTGAATGGTTCTTACTAAATTGATGAAAATTAACAACTTATAATTTATTTTTGAATTGAAATTCTGACAGATCCATTCCAAAGCCAACCACTAATTTCATTGATAAAAAGTAAATGAAACAGAAAAAAAATAGGAAAAAGAATTACCAACTCATGGTATCAACCAAATAGGAGTTTTACGCTTTTTGTTTGGAATATTATGGAAGGAATAAACTTTTAGAGCTTTTAGAGCTGAATATGAATAAGGAGGCTTTCTTCTATTTTCTAGCCCGTTCCAAAAGGTGTGAAGGGTAAGGGACGAAGTAATATTCATAAGGTCAGCACAAAGCGAAACTTAAACCGATCATTTAATGCACCAAGAATTATAGCACCGACACATGCTTTTCAGCCCAATTATATTTTACACTTGCGATTATTATGTGATACATTATATATGTAACTTAATAACATATTTTCGTAGTTTATTCAAAAGTACTGCCAAGCATCCAAATGAGCGAATACAATGGGCCCCACTGAGAGGGAATGATGAGTTATGATTAATTGAATGCGATCAAAAATAAATTATCCACAAGTCTTTCGATTTTGTAAAAACCTAGAATTAAATAAATACTTGTTCACTCGCTAAACTGTCGGCGAATGGAGCCACAATTACACGGGTTGCAAAGTAAAATATCAAACCGAATGTGATGGAAATGGGTAACGCTGGAAGTGCTTTTTTAAAAATCGCAAGGAGGAGGAGAGTGAGGCACAGACCCTGCAACATTAAAAAACGTAATGATTTTTCGAACTCTTACATTTTACAAGTTCTTATGAAATCAAAGTCCAGAAGGACAATAATTAATTCTTACAATTAAAATGGCTACAAAACAAGCGAGAGTTGTGTTCCAATCTCCATAGCTCGACGCTTTTCCTACAAGAACACTGTAGAATATGAAATCTCCAAGTCCAAGTTTGATTCCACGTTCTTCATCAGCAACTGATCCTTGAAATTGATTACGGTTGGCGGGTTGCTGTGTCCTGGGTGTATTTACCGTATCACGAACCAACTGCGCTCTCCTTGTTCCTCTCTCTCCTGTAAATATGCTCCAATAATTACCGTATTTTATTTTTAAAAATTTCGAAAAAGAATTAAACTAAATGAACACCATGGTTATCAATCCACCCGGAGGTAAATCCGCTCTCCTCCCCGTCTTCACCAGCATTTTGACTCTGCAACTGAGCACGTGCAGGCGAAGCGATACCTTCTTCCTCAACAGTGTCAGCCCTTGCCATGGTTGCAGTTCCAATATAGCCAGCATAAGTAACAGTAAAACTGTATAAAATGGTTGATGAGTAAATGAGGGCCGGGAATATGGGTTCGTTTCGCTCCTGAGCAGTCTCTACAAGAATCCTAAGGGGCCCCTTGGGTGTCAACACAGCAATTAAGTCTGCAATAATAGAAATAATTAATAAACAACGTATTCAAATAGGTTCGAAATTAAATATTCGTAAGTACGCCAATCCATTCAAACGTACCCCAGAAACTAATAACCGCAAGCACGACCCAAGCAGTCCATTCAGGTAAATATTTGATAAACACAAGAGCCATCAGAGCAGCGATGAATATCAAATAAGCTTGCTGAAGGGCTAGAGGTCCTTGCCAGTGAATGCAGATCATCCCAACCGCACCGAAATTCCATAAGACAATTATCAGTGTGATCAAGTCCATTGGAATATTGTAAGCTTTGAGTATCTCTTCACAATAAAGAGTTGTAAACATGAAGAGTAACATGAGGGAACTTATAATCAGCCATCCATGGATAACTTTATAGAATCTGTATTTATACAGAATAATAAGGATAACGGTCATGCAAACAATAACACACAGAAGGATCAGTGAGTTGGCAAGTGCCTGCCAGGCTTTCGTAGTTGTGTCCTCAGTATCATCGTGAAAAGGTGTGTATACTAGATATACATCTTTGGTCGTGTAGAAAGTGATGGAGCTGATAGTGGCGACCACCACTAACATGCAGAGCGAAACTGGTACAAAGAGTTTTATTACGTGTGCAGCTCCATATTTGAGTTCCTCTTCTTCATCTTCTTGTTGATAATCCCCTGGATCAGGTACCGAGGATGGAGCGTTACCTGAAGTTCTCGAGCTCGAGAAGAACGCAGATGAACCTGGATTTTCTATTCGTACCTCTGGGAGGGCGTCCACCTACAAAAATCACGACACTTAGATCCCATTCTGAGGGCCAACACAATTTTATTAAACACAAAAATATTTAAGGTACCTCTTCATTACCAGGTGTCCTCAATTTACGTTTCTTTCGTTCAATCACTAGACCGGTATTGTCGGTCCGACTTTCTGCAACATGGGCGTCCATGAGACTCGTGTATTCGTCCGCAGAATCCAAATCACTACCATCCATTCATGTGTCTCCTTCTTCGTAACAATAAATGTCAATTTAGTAGAAGAGCCATTTTGCAAAATTACTCATTATCCATACAATTCAGTACGTACAAAGGCTTTAAAGCTCAATTTTTTCGGAATTTGTGATAAATCCTCATTGATTCACTTTTATTGAAGTTTGGTCACCCCCGATGCCTATATAACCGTAACGAGAACCGCGTTGAAATTGCTAACAGCGAAAAAATTAATTTCACCTAATGTTAACCATGAAATTTATTTCAATTGATATCCACACCTGTCGCAAAGTTATGCATTGACATTGTAACGAATTTTCGAAGAATGTATCAGAGATTATAGGGGAGATTGCTAGGGCTTATGGAAAGGCTTTGGTAAGTGATTCATTGCGGCGGCTATGGAACTACGCTCAGAGAGCCCGTACGTGTCAGTAAAACAGGTCGCGAGCCCGTGAGTGTCGATAATTTTCAGACGGACGTATAATAAGCAGGTGAATAATGAAATTCCCAATGAAACTAATTTAGATCATTAGGGAATTATTCAGGATAGTTTAGGAATACAATTTTATAATTTAGGAACTCATAGTTTATTTATAATTGATTATTGTTTTATATGGCGTATAGTTCGCAGGTGAAGTTACAAAAAAATATTTTAATTAGTATAAATCGATGCAAAATCATTTAGGAAGTCTAAAAAACATTGATTTATAGTTTAGGAATTCATATTTTCTGCTTAATTATTTTTTTTTCGAATTTGAATTGGCAGAGGAAGAACTATGCAAACGCATACGGTGTATAATTAGCAGGTGGTATGAGCAAATATCAATTTAATTACCACCCACAAACGCGAAATCATTTAGGAATAATAAAAAACATTGTTTGAGAATTTAGGAATTAATATCCATTTTGTAAATGACCCTGAAGTTTGCTGAAAATGATCTTTATCAGCGGATATTTCAGTGAAAAATCGAGGAATTTGAAAATATCAAATTTTTTTTTTATAGGAACAGATTTAGTGGTGATAGTTGTCAATTATAAAAAAATATTATTTCAAGGGTAAATTTCATGAAATATTAACTTTTGAGAGCAATTGACAGTGGATATCTAGCTTCGAAAGTGATTTAAAAAAAAAAGAAAAAATGTCACCATTAGAATTTGCCCCAATCTAATGGTGATATTTTATGAACTTGAAGTTAGCTGCACTTTTCATATACCAGCCTTTAGCAGAGAAATTCTCTGACTTCGGTTTTCAAAAATCTAAATGGGAATTCCTTTTTTTTTATTTCTCCTGTTCGTAATTCGGAATTAAAAAAAAAACAAAAAAACTTCAACACCCCATATCTCACGTATGGAACAACCCCTAGAGTTGAGTCAATCACCAAAATTTTTAATTTTCATTGGCCTAAATGGGAATTGGTCTCAAACAAAATTAAATAAATCAACTTTTTGTTTTGCCGAATTTTGCCGAATTCTTATGAGATTATAGAGTTTTATACATTTAATAAAAATAATTTCAAGAAAGTTCGTTCAAAAATTTGAAAAAAAAAACCAATTCCCTTTGACTCAACTCTGGGGGTTGCTCCATACGTGAGATATGGGAGTGTTGAAGTTTTTCTGATTTTTTTTTAAGTTCCGAATTACGAAGGGGGGAAATAAAAAAAAAAAGAATTCCCATTTAGATTTTTGAAGACCGAAGTCAGGGAATTCGGTTACATGATATTGTGATGGGCGGCGTCGGAGATATTCTATGCTGAACATTTCTGTAATTCGTTTTATTGTTGTAAAAAAAGAAAAAACACTTACTGAAAAAAAGTGAGGCAATTCCCACCTGGAGAAAGGTTTCCTGAATACACAGATTTGTTTTTTTTTTATATCTTCACTTTTCACAGAGATATTCTCTGCTGAAGGCTGGTATATGAAAAGTGCAGCTAACTTCAAGGTTATGATATTTTTTCTTGTTGCCCCATTCTAATTCCCGAAGTTTAATCCACTGTCAAAGGATAAATGTTTGTCAAGGTTTAAATTACGTTTGAGTAGCTCGATTTTAAAAATAAAAAAAGGCACATTTACAGATTTTCATAAGCTTCTGGTGATATTTCAGGTTTTTTCTTACAAATGTTTAATTTGTGAGATATACAATGTTTTTTCAGAGCGACATTAACAACCGAAAATGAACTTACAGAAGATGATTAATCCATGTCTAGAAGGAAAACAAAGTGTGATCATTTTTTTCCACAGTTTCTATATGCATATAACGGTAACATTAATTATGAAATTAGAAATTACGGTAACAATTGTTAATAGATTTTCATTCATTCAGAAGATAGTATGATTTTGCCGAGATAAATCCAATATTGAAATGATTTATTAGACAAATTCTCATGCTACGCATATAGAAACTGTGGAAAAAAATGATCACACTTTGTTTTCCTTCTAATCTAATATGTTATGTATTCTCCATTGATGATTAATCATCTTCTGTAAGTTCATTTTCGGTTGTTAATGTCGCTCTGAAAAAACATTGTATATCTCACAAATTAAACATTTGTAAGAAAAAACCTGAAATATCACCAGAAGCTTACGAAAATCTGTAAATGTGACTTTTTTTATTTTTAAAATCGAGCTACTCAAACGTAATTTAAACCTTGACAAACAGTTATCCTTTGACAGTGGATTAAACTTCGGGAATTAGAATGGGGAAAAAAAGAAAAAATATCACCATTAGATTGGGGCAAATTCTAATGGTGACATTTTTTCCTTTTTTTTTTAAAATCACTTTCGAAGCTAGATATCCACTATCAATTGCTCTCAAAAATTAATATTTCATGAAACTTACCTTGAAAATAATATTTTTATATAATTGGCAACTATCGCCACTAAATCTCTTCCTATAAAAAAAAAAATTTGATATTTTCAAATTCCTCGATTTTTCACTGGAATATCCGCTGATAAAGATCATTTTCAGCAAACATCAGGGTCATTTTTGTAAAATACTTTTTTTTACAATTTTTGCTTGGAGGACAGTTTGCGCATGAGCAGACGCCCCCAGAGCGATCAGCTGTGCCCCCATGCCGGCTTATGTGGGTCACTCAATTGTTGACAAAGTCGCCAGAAAAGCAGGCGTTATATGAAAATTCAGTGCAGTGGCACTTACAGAGTGAGTAAGTGTTATAAATTAAATATATTAAATGATAACTACAGTTCTGGAAGTATTAAATACTCGTTTCTTCTCTGAATTCCTGAATATCGCGTTTTCAAAACAAAACAACGTAGTCAGTGGTGAAGGAATAGGTTAGAATCCTGAGTATAGAGAAACAAAATTAGTCTAAGGTATTTTTTTAAAATAGATAAAAAGATGATCTTCGAAGGCTAGAAGTTAGAACTTATAAACTCTACTCTTCTACATATCCTCCACTTCACCCTCCTTCGTGGAATGACCCACCCTAGCAAACTATCATCCACGCTATAGCGTGGATGTAGTGTGTGTGTTACGTGGATGTTGCGTGGATGCAATTTTTGAATGAAAAACAGGTAGAAATCGATGAAAATAGATGATAGAATGATGTGGGATGAATAAGGTTGATTATTTGATACATTTGGCGATGTTTGCTTGATTATTTTGAGATGAATTATAAAAAATATATAATGGCCAGAAGTGAGCATGAAAACTGCGTTCGGAAAATGCCGAGAGATGGCGGTAGGGTTATATTACCGACTTCGATAACCGAATTGAACGTAGCCGTTTAAGGCCCGGATGGAGGGAATTTTTTCTTGATTGGCGATTTTACGCCCTCCTACTGCGCGGTCAAGACCCGAACCTTGATCTCAAGCGATGCCTTGTCGGTAACTACGGCAATCGCTGGAAACCAGGGAAACATTGGACAGTGGGGC